CTAACAAGGACAAAGTCTATCTGCGTTCTGGCACTCCCACTGTAGAAGCTAAGAGGGTGGGAGTCTCGTTTGCGAAACTTCTCATTCACGGTGACCAGGTTATGGGCCTCTGCATAGTCGAAAATTCTTTCACCATCGGGGTTACGTGGCCCATAGCCGAAACCACCACGACAACTGTAGCCGTCTCGGCTCTTGGCTAAGTCTCTTGGCTAAGAATTCGTTCACGGGAGTGGCTCGACATCCTTAGCACTACTGTGAAAACGGCTTGCTCGAAATCGCGTAGGCCCACGCAATACCCTATTCAACAAACTCGCTGAAAACTTGTCCTCAGGGATAGCTTGACCTTCCGAATGTGAATATCACATCATCATGACATGAATCAAGAATGGAGTAAAGATAGAAGCAAGTGACAGGGCCGCCTGCTATGCTCGTCCCAGAATTTTTGCTCCTTACATGCAGTGGAATCTTTGGTGGTGAAGTCTGCTCCTCCATGCGATGCCACTGGGAGCTGTCTTTGCGAGCGCAAACGCAGAAAGACATTTCGAATGCTGGTGACAGGCCTTCGTGGACGGCGGCCTACGAACACCCACGTCCCATCACATTCCAATGTTCAATATGCCATATGAATTCCGAATCAGTGCTGCGGCGTCCGCGGGAGCCGACGCGCACTCGTATCTCCCGGCGAGTGTGGAAAGTATGCGAGGGTCCCTGATGCAAGGACGGCATCGGGGGACAAACAGGCTAGTTCGAAAGTCATGCAGCATGGAGAAGATCCGTGTAGCAACGTTGAATATTGGAACGCTGACGGGGCGCTCATGTGAGCTGACAGAGGCACTGGAGCGCAGGCGTATAGGCCTGTGTGCTGTGCAAGGAACAAGAGGGTCTAGCTGCAAGTCAAGTTACATCGGTCGAAGCTTCAAAGCTCTTGTGTGGCAAACCAAAAACCACCAATGGAGTAGCTGTAATAGTCTCTCAAAGTTTCCGGGACCCGATAGCAAGCGTAGAACGCTTCGATGACCGCGTGATTATGGAGCAAGTTTGTGATGCGAAGTCTACCGTCTGCATGGTCTGGCTGAATGAAGTAATCAGGTTGACGGTTTGTCGCCAGTGGTTGATGTTTTGTAGAGTATTACGAACAAGCTCTCCGAGTGACGAGGGAGTTCAGCTTGAACCCCGTCCCCTAAATTGATTACTGACCTTCAAACAACACATATACACACATTTTGGAGAAGCGAACGCCAATGTATCAGTTGCGAGAAACTGATCTTTGCTGCACCATTGCAGATGGAAAACGAAGACTGCAGGTCACGTCAATCAAAAGCTTCCAAACGTCCCGTGATACATAAACACTCTTGCGATTAGTGGCCTCCTAATCATGAGTGATTCACCGTACCGTAGTGACCCATAATATCAGTGTTTTGAATGAAGCTGTGGTTGTTCTGCTCTTTTTATATCATGGAGTCGATAGTCTATAGAAGTTTTTTCGAGTCTTCAAATGCAGTGTTTGCACTATAGAAAGCGCTACTTGATAACGATACAATAAAAGAGCCGAAAGTCGAACGAGTTCTATCAAACGCTTACTTCATAGCGTTGAGTCAGGGAGGTACACTTCAATCCTCAGGGTGGAATAACGCCCCAACCTGCCCAAAGAAAACGCTCTGGAAATGATCTGTTGACTGTAGAGCCATGAAAATGTGTATGACAGTGAGCACTAAGTACGAGAATGGATGACAGCCCTCCTTCGAAGAAATGAGGATATTAAGGTAGGAATGCGACTTCAGACTGGATCATCAGTACTATGAATATAGCCCGGCGGCTCCTCTATGTCATCCATTACGCGCCACGGTTCGGTTTCAGACTCACCCATGAGCTATCTCACGTTACTCTTCACCATCATTCAGCTGCGAATAAACCTCCTTATCTGTCCGAGAGTTTTTCTTGAGGTCTTTAGGCATGATTCATCGGTGGAAACAAATTACTCTCATGAATCCAAGAATTTCAACAAAAAAAAAATTAAGATTGTAAGTGTGCAATGATGGCCTGTTCTTTGTCTTTTCTTTTTTCCCTGAGTTTTTTACTCCGCTATTGACTTTATCGCTTGGAGCAGTGTCTTTACCCTACCTTTTGCACTTCAGCATGTACTCAAGACTGCATTTAGGCAAGCTGTCAGCTGCACTTTTGATAATGAGACTTTATAAGAATCACCTGGTCTTATCAAACTAGTGAACTGCACATAGTCCCCTCGCCATACTTAAGATGTTGAGACGTTTCGTGCACATCTTTCTTCTGTTAGGTGAGTCGAATCTATGCCATTACACCTGAAGGTTTCAAAACTAGAAATTTGAATTGATTCGATTCTCATGGTATAAAAAGAGGAACATGAGGAGTTCAAGATAGGTGACCCAGACCATATCGCAAACACCTTGCAAGTGAACTTCCAGAACGATAAGTTATTCACTAGCTGAACTCAAATCGTAAAATGTGTCGAAACTGGCCCTTACTTATTTCTGCTTTCATTCGTGTGAGGCTCTTTCATAATAGTTCCGTAGAGTGGAATTTCACATAAATTTGTCTCCTTTTTCTTGATGTCTCTTTCGTTCTTTGCGATTTGGCTGCTGTCTTTCTACATACCCATTGCCATCAGCAGCCGCGGTAACCTCAGTCATATCGCCGCCCAGAGACTGAATGAATGGTTTCTGCGCGCTTCCACTTGTCTTGGGTCGTGCTTTCGAGTGCTCTCCAAATTCTTGGGACTACTGTTTCTGTTCTCTTACGCCACATGATGCCACGAAAGAGTCTACATATGCTGCACGGCATGACTGCAGAGAAGTATTAGTTCACCAGCAGCGCTACATAGTAGTGGTCTATCATACTACAGTCAGTTAAAAAAAACTTCTGTGAGCAGCGAGGAGAGCAGCACTGCTGCTGCCGACGATACAGGCGAGAGCGACTCGAGGCAGAAAGAAATCTTTTAGTGTTTGCGATAGCTGAGAGAAAAAGTCATTTAGAAAAGCTTCTCCATTCCCTGGTGTAAAAGATAGTATATCATTTACCATGATTGAAGCCAAAGCCACCTTCCCGGCATCAAGAGAATGAAGCTTACTGTCTCGTATATATTCGATACAAAAATACTGCACGAGTCGTAGTACACACCACATTCATATGCGTACATACGATTAAAAAAACAGAATAGTATTTAGAGGATAAAAGTGAGAGCTGAAAAAAGGTGGTATCAAGAAAGGTAGATATATACCATTTTCACTTCAAATCGGACACTTTTTAAACAAAATCGGATACTTTTCAAACCAAATTGGACACTTTTCAAACCAAATCGGACACTTTTCAAATCAAATCGGACACTTTTCGAATCAAATCAGACACTTTCCATATCAAATCGGACACTTTTTAAATCGAATCGGACACTTTTCAAATCACATCGGACACTTTTCAAATCAAATCGGACACACCCCTACCAAGGGCAGTTGATAACTAGACCACACTAGGTACTGCTGCAAGCCCCGCCCCAACACCCCCGCCCACCTTTCCAGCGCGGTCACGGTTTTCCAAACTTTTTGCTAGTTGCACACACACTCAAATTGAAAAGGAATGGTACCGATACAGACCCGACTCCGCCCACTACACAATCAAGTGATGTAAGTTCTAAATTTTTATAACTTCTTTCGACGTCGGTTTTTTCACATTCAATCTTCACAAAACGAATATAGCCATGCTTTTACACACTAGCACACTAGGCCCCGTCCCTCTGACCACGCCCGCTTTCGTTTTTCGCGGATTTTGATTTCTCTTTCGAATTTCCACTTTTTTAGGCTGTGACAAAGCGGCCCCGCCCACTGATGGAAGATTCGCCCACCTTCTAGAAGCCCCGCCCACATTTCAAAAATGACGCAGATCGGCGAGCTAGTGACCGTGCTGGCAGGTTATGGCCTCTCCTGTCACCCGGAACAAAGTTCCCTTTTTTGTGCTCTTTCCCTTTTTTTCATTCTATGTGACAGGAGAGGCCATAAGCTGCTAGTACGGTCACTAGCTCACCGAGCTGCATCAATTTCAAAAAGTGGCCGGGGCTTATACAAAGTGGGCGGAGCTCCACATGGCGGGGCGCTTGTCACAGCCTAAAAAGGCGAAAATTCAGAAGAAAAAATAAAACCTCCGCGAAAAACGAAAGTGGGCGTGGTTAGAGGGGCGGGGCCTAGTGTGCTAGTGTGTAAAAGCATGACTATATTCGTTTTGTGAAGATTGAATGTGAAAAAACCGACGTCGAAAGAAGTTATAAAAATTCAGAACTTACATCACTTGATTGTGAAGTGGGCGGAGTCAGATCTGTATCGGTACCAATCCTTTTCAGTTGAAGTGTGTGTGCAACTAGCAAAAGTGAGAAAAAGTCGAAGAAGCAGATTTCATAAAACATTTTGGAAAACCGTGACCGCGCTGGAAAGGTGGGCGGGGGTGTTGGGGCGGGGCTTGCAGCAGTACCTAGTGTGGTCTAGTTATCAATGCGTTTGGGGTAGGGGGTGCTGGCCTGATTTTGATTGAAAAGTTCTGTTGGTTTTGAAAAGTGTCCGATTTTTGAAAAGTGTCCGATTCAAAGTGAAAATGGTATATACGAAAAGAGTTGAAAACAGGGTCGCAGTGTGTTAACGAACTGTTCAGTTATACTGCTTAGGAATTATGAGTCCTGCCACGGCCGAAGTTTTCGTTTCACTGATATCTGGGAAAAAAGTTAGCAGTGGGCTAATGTACCTCCATTACGGCCGTGTCTAGAACACAAGGCGGAAGATTTGTACATCGGTTGACCTCGAAGCCGTTGTATGGGTTCACATCGCGATTCAATAATCACCAATTCTGTACTGAGGTAGAATGGTGCCGCATCCCTAACAGGGGACTGAACAATGGCGAAGAGTCTAACTTTCACACTTTTTATTTTCACAGCAGATGGACAATAGAAAATTTATCACTATAAACAGATTCCTCCCCGATTTATGATGCCGCTGATGCCAGTGATCTTCCGCAAGAACAGGGTGGAAGGTGGGGCTAAATGTTCTCTGTTGAATCGTTGTAAACGTGGCAGACCATCCATAGGTAATAAATGGTCCACACGAACAGACGCACTATGGAGAGTGAGGTGTAAGGAAGTCAAAGAGAAGAAACTTGAGCCTTGTGGGAGGATTGGTAATGAATACACATTAGGATTTCGTAATAAGCACTGAACGACGAATGAATGCTGAGACGCGGCGTTCGGAAAACCAGCTTTACTTGAGTTAGCTTAGGCTTGTATTTTTAAAACACAACTCGATCTCTGCGATTGCCGCTTGTCTCGAACAAAGCGTTTCTTTTTTACATCGGATGTTGAAACAATCATATACGAATTGATCTGTGAAAATTTGAGGAAGCATTAATTTCTGAGCAAGACCCGTGGAACTAGACACTAGACTTCTCGTATGAAGCGGTATTTTAGTTTCTCTAAGGAGTGTTCAGCGCTCTTCAAAACTCCATATCCTGCGAATTCCTTAACGAGACTCTAGACGACAAGCTTGTTTCCGCTCGAATCTCATGCATTCAACAATTCGGCTATCCCTAATTATTGTTTTTGCCTTCTGTGCTCTTTCAGAAGCGGCAGCAGTTCTTCTGAGATCTGAGGAAGGAAAATAGAGAATAGGAAGAGAATAGTGAAATGAAAATGAACAAAAAAAAGGCATGGAAGTATAATATATGAAGTGAATCAAGAGGCTGTTTCTCCAAAAATTACGAGAAAAAAAAACTCTCTAGTTTTCAGTCCGAGGTTTCGTGCTGATGTAAAAGAGGTTATGTCCCAGCTTATTCTTTCATTAAAAAGAAATTTTCAAGGAAACTTTTCAGGTCGAGTCTCTGAAATACCCCCAGTTATTGGGGTTGGTAAGTAAGTTCTGTCATCTTCACTGATTTCAAAATACTTGCCTAGTTTGTGAGCAGTAGTACGCAGAGATACTGTCCCTGTTAGTACCAGCTCAACTCCTATTATTTCTTCTTCTATTGAAATACGGACAAGAATAATATTTGGTACCATGGGCACAGTTCTTCCGAGCGCTTCCTGAAACTTTTCTTTCATCACCATGGCTATAGCATGAGAGGTGCCAAGGCCGAAATGAACTAGCTGTACAAGGTTCATGTCCCCTTATCGGACAATCTTCCACGACGCTGGTGCTTTAAAGCGTGGACTTATAGCTTTGAAGACGGAGTGACGTTCGAATGTCCATGTCAACTTGCTAGAGGGATTTGTAGTGCGTGAAACTTCACGATGTTGTTTTCTAGAGTCAATCTCTATGCAAAACAGCAACGATGCCTCCGAAATGTTAGTGAGGCCCACACCGCTCAAAAAATGTCGAGTCAAATCTCATGCAGTGGAACTGTTTAGGCTGTATACTTTGCGGCAGCGTAGCGCTTCCAGCGTACGCCAGCGGCAGTGCCGGGGAGAGGATGGATATCGATCTAGCGTTCCCAGCGTCACCAGCGTAACGCTAGCGTTACGCCAGCGTTTCACCAGCGTTTTGCTAGCGTTTGCAGCGGCAGGGGAGTAGAGACTATGGGAGAGCTGGAGGGTACAAAACACATCGATTGCGCGTCTCACTCGCCCTCAGTCTCTACTATATCGATTGCGCGTCTCTCACTCGCCCTCAGTCTCTACTATACACATCGATTGCGCGTCTCTCACTCGCCCTCAGTCTCTACATACACATCGATTGCGCGTCTCTAC